TTCAACACTTTCAGAAGGAAAGATTTATTACTAAAAGGTCAAACGGGTGCAATAAAAAATATTTACAGAAAAAGATGTAACTAAGATATATATATAAATATACAGAGAACAACAGCACAGCAAAGAGATAACAGAGAGAGGTTAAAGGGTTAAAGTACTTGCCAAAGTCCTGGGTTAGCAGATCAAGTTTCGGAGCGAAAGGGTACGGGTCTCCTCAGGTGGTATTGATGTTAAATGGGAGAATTCTTCAACTTCCTGTCTTAGGCCTGACAGCCCATTTTGTCGTCCCCTAGCAGGGGGTGTCTCTGAAGTCAAGGACCAATGCCCCATTTGGAGAGGGCTCCTCGGGCGGAGGCCTAAACTATAGCCGAAATCTCTCATAACTCAAATTTTGCTCATAACTTTTCCTATGCACAAGTGACATTCCACCCGCGGGTAGATTATTATGCAGACACGTCTGAGGATTGATTAGATATGAATTATGAAATTCTACACTGAACGGTTCACAAGATCTACTTTTCTGCTTTTCTATGTATTCCAACCACAAAGAGTAACCTATCAAACTGTTCGCCTCCCCGTGGCCAATCTGACGATATGCCTGGTTTTTATGTAAGTCTCTCATATTCCACGATATGAGACATAGGGAAAAAATGGATTTTTAAAAAGGTTATCTGGTTCAATGTCTTTTAATCTCCTGGGAAGGCTGAGTTATCTTTTTACGAGGTGTTAAATTGCACAGGTTCTTTTGACAGCGAGGCCCCAGCTCCCTTGGGGACTTTATAGCTCCTAGCCCCCTGCTGGGCTCTGGCCTCCTGTGACACTCCTAACACACACACACAGGGGGGGGGAAGTATGAGGGGAGAAAATGGAGATTCTTAACAAAATGGAGGCTGCGTCCTGCCTCTGGTGCGCACGTGCGCCACAGAAGCTATGTGCTGCTTATCCTTTTTTTTCTATATGGCCAGTATTGCATTTTGATCACTTTTCTGTTTTGATGGTATGCTGACTTTTTTTTTAAGTACCGGTACATGAATATGTTGCGCACACCTACATTTTGTTGAACTACGAAGAGACAGAAATCTAATGAGTATCTAAGACACTATGTAAGACATCTTTATGTATTTCCCCAGTAGTCTTTGGAAAGGGCCAAAAACCATGGATTTGATTACTGCCCAAAAGCTTCTTCAAAAATGAAAAATCAAACATTTCACTGTAGTATATACTGTAGTATTTGAAAAGCTTACATTGAAAACCCTCTATTTAATTGAAGAAGATTTCTATATATGGTGGACATTTTCAAACAAACGGCCTCACAAATAAGTGCAAAATAATCAATTCAGATCAGTAGAAGGAAGAAAAAATTGTTTGAAAAAATAAAGAAAATATAAAGTATATCAACCATTTTAGGAACAGAGTTTTTTTAAATGTAGATGCCAAGACCAAGATAATCAGCATCAGTTATTACTATGGCTAATTTTCAGCTATGCATTTGTGGTTCTCTTTTACAAAGTTATTTAAGGTTTTTATGCAAGGGTAATTTTTCATGTTGGGATTAAAAAAATATATTGTGGTCAAGAAGAGTTTGAAGGTCAAATTCAAATTTTTACACTTTTACTTTTTTTATTGAATTTTGTATGTGTTTTAGCTAAGCATATAAAAGAGATCAGCCTACAGAGTAACTGTATTTTGTATAATACAAACTCTCATTGATTCTATGGAGAGGTTTTTTATTTTTGCAACACATAATAGACTCTCCATTGGAATCGGACCACTTGGTCTATTAGCGAGTTTGTATTAAAATTACTTTGGTTCATTCTTATGAGCAACTATTTCATGTTCATAGATACCCACTACCTCCAGGTGCAGCATGTGGCCATGGGAATGTGCTGTGCACCATTCTATGCCAACCTGCACCTGGGGGATTGTGAAAGTGAGGTCTTCTCTTGAAAGATTTTAGCCCCCTTCTTGATCCATGTTCTCTGTTGGCATTGCTACATTGATGACCTTGTAATCATCCTGACAAGTATAGTAACAAAGTTACAAACAGTTGTTAACACCCTGGGGAAAAATGAGTTTAATCTTGACCCAATGAGCATATCTTACCTCGATGTGGAAATCTACATCAAAGATGATAGATATTTGGCTACAAACTTGGCTGGGAATATCCTGCTTCATGCCTCTAGTTCACATCTATCACCACTTATTGAAAGTATACCCCTTGCACAATATATAGAATTGCAAGGGAAGAGGACTTTGTAATCCAGATAGCATTGCTTTGTCAACTCCTCCTGGCTCATGAGTACATAAAAAGTAACATTAAGAAAGCATATAAGAAAACATTGGGATGTTCTAGAGCAGGGGTGGCCAACCTGCGGCTCTCCAGCTGCTGCAGGACTACAAGTTCCATCATGCCTCTGCAAGTCAGTAACTTCCCATCTTTGCAATGCCTCATGGGAAATGTAGTTCCACAACAGCTGGAGAGCCACAGGTTAGCCACCCCTGTTCTAGAGCATCATTACTTTATGAGACTAAACCTAAGAAGCCACAGGACACAGGGGTGGTACAAATTTTTCAGCACAGTATACTATTTTGTGTTTTATTGTGGTCAGACCCTAGTATCTCTGAACAGACAATTACATGTTGGCAACACATCTTAGCCTTATTGTGTTAATTATCTGTTTTCATTTGAAGAAGATTTGGATCCTCCTGAACAAGCGGTCATGTCCACTTTTTGGAGGTTGTGTTTGAGGAGCTACCCGTAGAAATGCAGCAGGGTGCAATTTTTTTTTTTATATTTGTTTTAATTTGATATTGTATGCAATGCTGTTTTTATCAGAATGTAATGAAATTGTGAATTCTTTAGAAGTGGTGTGTCATGAACATAGGGTATTGATAAACTCCATAATACACATTCTTTTGATTTCTTAATGAATGGGGTGTTGAGAAATATGTTGGCACTGATCATATTTTCCTTTCTCTATTGGAATGAGTGGGGTTTTTTTCATATATGAACATTAGAACAGGTAGATCAGCTGGTAGAGTTTGCATTGGACTTTAAAGGTTTACTTTAATTTTTTTATTTTTACTCCTGGTGTCACTCATATTCCTTTTACATTCTTACCCTGCCTTTATGTTTGCCAACAGGCAATGTCCGTTGTAGGCCATAACTTGGAGCTTACAAAGGTATAAAGACTGTCTTACAGCTGCCATGTGACAGAATTAGAGACACCATGGCTAATAACCAGGCACCAACACTAAACTTAAAGCGGAGTTCCACCCAAAAGTGGAAGCTCCACTTGTTTGCCTACTTGCCCTCCACTTCCATATTTGTCACCTTTTTGGGGAAAGCCAGAAGTTCAGCCCCCTCCTTCCTCCCAAAGTGTCCTGGGAACTTTCACAGGTTCCAGAAGACTGCTGGACCAATCAGGATGTGCACCCCGACTTGCACATGTGCAGTGGGCACTCGGTTGTAAAACCGAATTGAGATGCTGGCGCTGTAGAGAGAAGGAGAGAAAGGTCAGCGTAGGTGAGTACATCTATGGATCCTGGGACAAGTAAGTGTGTGTTTATTATAAGTCAGCAGAGCTACAGTTTTTGTAGCTGCTGACTTCTAATAAACACAAAAATGGCTGGAACTCCTCTTTAATTCAAGCAGGGAAGCAGAAGATATACCTGGTACTTCTGGGTATGGAGGAGGATGGGGACCTCACCAATTACGACCACATGACAACACTGGGGCTTGGAGATTTGCTGCTTAGGTACCAAACCCTGTCACATGGAGGTTATGACCTGAAACTTACAAAAGTCCTCTTCTCCTCAATCCAGTGGATATTTTGTGTGTGGGGTACGAAAGGCAGATATACTATATTGCCAAAAGTATTGGGACGCCTGCCTTTACATGCACATAAAGTTTAATGGCATCCCGGTCTTAGTCAATAGGTGTCAGGGCTCCCGGGTGTGACCAGAGGTGTGTGACTGACGCAGGGAAACGCAGACTTCAGATATGTTATAAACAATGTAATTTATTAACACTAACAATACAAACATAAACGCAGTGCAATACTAAAACATAACACAGTGCAAACAAACCAAACCAACCACCCACAGATAACAGTACATACAATGCAAGCGTCGTCAGGCAGGCCGGGTCAATATCAATCTGGCAGGTAGGTACAGGGGGAGCAAGCGGAGAATGGTCGGGGTCACAAGCCAGGTTCAGCAGGTAGCGGGCAGCGTGGTACAGAGGGTCAGGCAGAGGAGAATGATCAGACAAGCCAGGGATCAGAAGCAGGAGAATGGTCAGACAAGCCAGGGATCAGAGCAGGGTCAGCAGAGAATCAGACAGGAACAGGAACAGGAACAGGAAACAGGGCCCAGGAGAAACACAACACCAAGGCCGAGTCTGCAGGTCTGAATGTCCCTTAAATACACCAGTATAATTAGTTCCAGGTGTTTGACTGGCTGCAAGGTTGAGTCTCTGATTGCTGGGAGCACCCGCTGGCCAGCCCTGGTACTGCAGCTCATAAGGCAGGTGAGTCCCACTATTGCTGGCCAGTCCATTCCTGACAATAGGTTTCAATATTGAGTTGGCCCACCCTTTGCAGCTATAACAGCTTCAACTCTTCTGGGAAGGCTGTCCACAAGGTTTAAGATTGTGCCTATGGGAATGTTTGACCATTCTTCCAGAAGCGCATTTGTGAGGTCAGGCACTAATGTAAGACCTGGCTCACAGTCTCCACTTTAATTAATCCCAAAGATGTTCTATCGGGTTGAGGTCAGGACTCTGTGCAGGCTAGTCAAGTTCATCCACCCCAAACTTTCTCATCCATGTCTTTATGGACCTTGCTTTGTGCACTGGTGCGCAGTCCTGTTGGAACAGGCAGGGGCAATCCCCAGACTTTTCCCACAAAGTTGGGAGCATGAAATTTTCTGAAATGTCTTGGTATGCTGATGCCATAAGAATTCCCTTCACTGGAACTAAGGGGCCAAGCCCTCCACCTAACTTTACACTTGGCACAATGCAGTCAGGCAAGTACCGTTCTCCTGACAACCTCCAAACCCAGACATGTCCATCATATTGCCAGACAGAGAAGCCTGATTGCTCACTCCAGAGAACATTACTCCACTGCTCTAGAGTCCAGTGGTGGTGTGCTTTACACCACTGCATCCGACACTTTGCATTGCACTTGGTGATGTAAGGTTTGGATGAAGCTGCTCGGCCATGGAAACCCTTTCCATGAAGCTCTCTATGCACTATTATGCTAATCTGAAAGCTATGCAAAGTGTGGTGGTCTTTAGCTATTGACTCTGCAGACAGTTGGTGACTTCTGCGCACCATGCGCTGCAGCATGCCACTTCATGGCTGAGTTGCTGTTGTTCCCAGTTGCTTCCACTTTGTTATAATACCACTAACAGTTGACCGTGGAAAATTTAATAGCAAGGAAATTTCACAGATAGATTTATGCATAGGTGGCAACCTATCATGGTACCATGCTTGATATCACTGAGCTCCTGAGTGAGACCCATTCTTTCACACATGTTTGTAGAAGCAGTGTGCATGCCTAGGTGCTTGATTTTATACACCTGTGGCCATGGAGGGGATTGGAACACCTGAATCCAAGATTTGGAGGGGTGTCCCAATACTTACTGTATTTTCTTACTCTTTTGTTTTTAGGCTTAAAAATAAAAAAAATGTATGGCAGTGCAGCTAAGAACAGACATGTTAAATGTTTACATGTCTGTTCATAGTGGAACTGTGAACATGTCTGTGCTTAGCTGCGCTGTTGAACAAAACACCCTGGGGTTTACAGAGCTCAATACCTGAAGCTCAGTTGAAAATGTCAGAGTATTGACTCATTTCCTTCACCTACTCTGTACATAAAACAGGTTTTGCTGTTCTGCTTGCATACAATTTTATTGAATAAGTTTATATTTTATATAAAAAAAAAACAGCAAAAGGATAGCCTAATAAACCATAAGCAAAAAAGGTAAAATACAGTAAAAGTAATTCAAACCATTGTTATTTATCTTACAGAAAAATGTGTTGTTTTTCAGAGCTCAGTAGCTCATGCTCAAATTAAAAAAAATTAAAAATACAACTGAAGACAGAGGTGTGGTCTATTTCTTCTTCTATCCCCTCCTTGCCTGCTCTAATCAGAAAAGTCTGTACAATTAGAAAGAGATAGTCTAGAAGAAGAGGGCTTCTGCTGTTTTCTAAAAAAATTAAATTCTCTGTTAATCCTGTGTAATTGGTACATACTGTATTAAATATGTTTATTTGGTAAACAGCACTTTTTTATAAGTTACGCTAAAATTGTTAGTTTAAATACATATACGTTAAAATTGATTAAAATAAAATGAGCCAAAAACATTAGAGTTTAACTTAAAACACTGCTAATCATTATTTTATATTTCTTATCTTTTGCTGATTTCATTGTGACATTAAAACTATAAAAATAATCCTACTCTATAACAAAATTAACCCTTTGTTTAAGAGCAATATATTCCGCTGAGATTTTTTATAAGTTAAACTAAATTCAACTTTAAAAGCTTTTTAATGGGTTTATACATTTAATGGAATGCTTTCTGTGTGCATTTTTCGCTTAGTGTGCTAAAGATGAGTGCATTTTTGAGTTTTTATGCTTTATCCATGGATTAAATTTTTAGCTCTTAAATGTTTTCAGCCCATAAAAATGGTCATCATTTAATTTCTTTCTTGTCACCAAGCTGTTTGTTTTGCTATACACATGGCAATGTTGGCAGGCAATATCAATGTTTATAAATGTCATCATTACTGTTAATATTTTAATGGTATTCTTAATATTTTATTATTTGCATGGATAGCAATTCTTCATTGGTAATTGCTGTTTTGCCATTTAGTGAATTTGAGCCCAATAATACATTAGTAAAAGACACCAAAGCACCTACAAAGCACAAAATACTGCCACTGAGGGTTGTTAGTATTGTTCTATTTTTAAGAGAACATTAATTTTAACAACAATCTTCCCATTAGATATTTGTGGATTTATTGTATTTTGTGCATGCTATTTACCTGTAAAAGCCTCCCTTGTGTAGACATCCAAAATCCCTGACACTGCTGCTGGAGTTCACCTTTTTGATATGATGACAGCGGTCCCAGCATTCAAAGCTGTCACTCAAGTGACATGGTATAAAATTTCTCTTCACTCTTCCCCCAATAGCTAAGATTTAAAAGGAGGTGAGAGAAAGGCAGATATGCTTTGCCAGCACAAGGAGCTATTAGACGCTCTCAGAACTGAAGAGGGAAATAACATGTGGGAAGAAGGAGGCTGTGTGTAAGGGAATTCCAGTAAGGCAACTGGTGCATAGACGTGCACATGAGCATGGCATTGCTAATAGAATTAGGCATAGGGGTGGGCATGAATGCAGCAATGCTCTTGCACATAGGTGTGCTTCTACACATGTATGTGCATGCGGGAACATGTCTAGAGTTCCTGTTGACACCAGACAGACAGAGATGCTCTTGCTTGTTGTCAGTGCTGACTGGTCTTCAGTTCTCCTGTGTCCTGAGTGTATTTGGTATCTAATTTCCATTGATGACCTGGCTTGTTACTGACCTAATACTTGATTCTGCTTGTACCTCTGCCCACCTGTCCCTGACCTTGGCTCTGTTCCTGGTCATGCTTCTGCTTATGCTTCTGTATTTCATAGCCCATCTGCTACTGACTTTGGCTGCCTCTGTGACCTCCTTCCTGTCTCTGACCTGGCTTCATACTACTTCTGAATGCCTGCTTCAGCTGTGTTTTATATCAACTCCAGTCATCCAACTCCAGTGTGTTCCTGCTGGGAGCTTCGACAAGCCACGCATCCAGAACCTACGGTATATATGGAGGGCAACTTTAACTTCATCTGGTCTAGCTTGCTTCACTTCTGCTCTTGGCCTAATGTCTGACCTCCCAAGATTGCGTCTCCAGCTGCAAGTTCTGCTATCAATACTTGCCAGCACTTCCTCCTGTTCCTCCTGTACCTCAGCACCATTTTACCACCTTCAGTGGGGCCTGGACTGGAAATCCAACCTCGTCAATTCAGTATCTTACCAGGTATGTGGCACTGTGCTTTTAAACATAATCTTCCTTGAGTAGTCAAAGTACAATCATTTATGGTAAGACAAACACAACAAGAAGCACTGTTCCAGATGGTGGCCAGGAGTATAAAGCTCTAAGTGAAAGTTACAAGTCTGTTGAGTCATTTCTTACACAGGACTATAGACTAACCATGGACTAAAAATAATATTTTGAGCAATAGTCAGCATGGATTTACACAATTGAAGCTTTTACTGGATTACACTATGTGATTTTTTATTAATTGTGGGGTACTCATACTTGGCTAAATGTAGTTTTGAGGTGTGAGACATTCAGAGCAGGAGCTGAAGTGGGAGATACCATAACACATTTTTCCATCCAATGTTTCATGCTGTTTAAGGCCAATTTTCTTTTTCTTATTCCAGCTGGTGAGTGTTTGAGAGTTGGTGATGGGCTTCACTTTGGTGATTTACCCACTGAAGTGGAAATAAGAAGTCTTTTACAGAGTCTGTTGGAAAGGGTTAAAGAGGATGCAGACTTAGTACATCCACTAAATTGATACTTTGTAAATTATGTTAATCAAAGAGACTGTGACATTGGTTTGCGTGGTGTTAATATTTTTTCTAGAGCAACATTTAATCAGGATTATTCTGTTGCACATTTGTTTGGTCCATACTTACTACAAATGTAACACTGAGCTCATCCCTAAAAAGTCAGTGGTTCAGATATTTACAGTAGATGATACATGGGTCAAGATTAAAAAGTTTTGGGTATGCAGCTCTAGAAATATGATTAAAGTAATACCAAAAAAAGGCAAGGACTGATAAAAGTTCATAAAAGTATTCATATACGATAATGAGTCCCAAATAAGATGGTGTTCTAATAGCCGTTGAGGCCAAGTGGTGCAACTTAATGCTAGGTGTTCCGTGAAGTAGTAGTAGAATAATGCACTTACCAGAAGTACATACAGACTAAGCGTTGTATGTAAATAATCCATGAAAACATCAAGGTCTGGTCACCGGTATGGCGTCATCTGGTGCTGTAGCGGACTCTCAGGAATGATGTCAATCACGCTTGGGGGACAACTCAGACTCACCAGTGGGTCCAACGCCGTCCAGACTCCTGAAACCGCTCCACCTTAGAGGGCTCGCAGAGTAACGAGCCAGGGAGGCAAGATGGTGCTGATACTGTAGTAACATTTTATTGCAATTGAATCCAAATAAACTGTAAGACACTCACATTCGAAACAGTAATGGCTTTCAGGCCTTCCTCATAGATATGCAGTCATCAGTAAAAGTGTCAAATTGAGGGATTCCCCTGACATGCTTCGTGCGAAACGCATGTTCTCAAAGGGGTGAATCCTCTCAATGAGACGCCAGGTAAAACAGACACAGCCGCACGTGCGCAGAAGCCACCACGCGCCGCTGCGTGCGACTGCGCATATATGCAAATGATGTCACACGCCACGGACATTAGGAGCCAGCGCGCCCCCAGAAGCGCACCGCTGGCTGCATCCTCTCAGCAGACCCGGCTCCTCCCTTAGCCACTGCGCACACGCGGGCAAACGCATACGCAGATAGTGCTGTCATGCAGAGTCAATGCAAAGGGGTAATATGAAACCACAGGGTTACCGTCCTAAAACCATGGCTAACTCTATGGCTCATATCTTACATACATATCCTTATTAGGAGCATACAAATTGGAGTACATTAAAATTAGAGGGTGAATGTCCCCAATATAAAATGAACGGACTCCATTTTGTTGAAGCTGCTTGATATATACACAACACTGTTCACAATTCATGTGAACATACTTATTGTACAAATTAAAATGCTAACGAACAATTAACCACATTTCATGGGCATCCTAAAACCTTATGTCCTGCAGTATATAAATTTCATAAATAAAAACCAACATATAAAATATAATATAATTAAAATTTATAAAACTACTACAATACTTAAAAATATATCAAGTTATATCAATTGGTCATTAATCATTTCAACATAACTGATTGAGAGATTGAATACCATGTGGCTCCCTGAAGAGGCTTGATGCCCCTCAGGAGCCCAAATATATAACTATGCTCTCATGACATATTGTTAAACCATGGAGAATATTCAAATTTGAAGCTGATTAAGATCAAAGGAATAGATCAAAATGTTAAGGAATAAAAACACAGTGAAACATATAAATAAATAATATAAAAAATATAGATACATGGTATGGGTCCCACCTCTCATAAAACAGCTCTAAATAGCAGCGCCTCAAAGTACAGATCCTACATGACTACAGTACGTCATAATACAATCCAACCTGCTTGATGATAGTTAAAATTAAATAGACAGATATATATAATAAAACCTCTAAAATTGTTATATTCAACTATTATCTATAAAGCAGTTTATGTCAAGATCCACGTTAAGGCCATGGGGAGACAGGGACTTCAAGTCCACTATCCATTTTGTTTCAAGCTGGGATATAGCTCTTCTCTTATAACCCCTTCTCCAGTGT